ATTATTTTCTAGGAAGTCACAATGTAGAAGAGGGAGAATCTTGTTCTCTTTTCTAAAAAAATATTTGGTCCAAAAACACTTTAAATAAAAATTCCACGTGGGGGGTTTCTTTAAAAGAATAAAAGAGTATGTATTTTATTTGACATTTCCAAAAAAATATTGGTTTTTTGAAAGCAGTCCATAATCTAGGGGTAGGGTGTAAATTTCTGTAATTTAAATGAAAAACAAGTAAATACATGGGAAATACTACAAAATGAAGAAAAACATAGAACAGAGACAAGAGATAAATTTTCAAAATATAAAAGAGCATAAAACACAATAAAATATTAATTATGGTATTGAGGGAGAGCAGACAAATCACAATAAATATGCCTAAAAAAGAAAAAAAAAAACAGAGTAGAAAAAGAAATCTAAGCAACTAAAAAGAAGAGTAAAATATACCAACACGCATGAGAGAAACCATGAGACTTGAACCATAAATATACAATAAAAATTATTAATTTTGGAAAAATAGTATCTACTATGTAACAAAAATAGAGAAAATGAGATTTTAATAAAGTAGAATTGAAGCTAACTTAGTAATTACAATAATTGTACTCCAACCAAAAATAGAGAAAACTAGAGTTCAATAAAGTAAATTGGTATTCAACTTAGAAAGTACTTCAAAATCTTCATAAATTCTTAATCAACAAACTGAAATCATTAGAACTTAGAAGAATGGGAGAAGTGAAGCATTTAAGAAAACTATTAACCAGTTTGATTTAACATCCATTTAAGAAAATAGAAGGGAGACACTAACCCAGAAAAAGAAAATTATCAATTAAATAAAAACAAGTTAAAGCTCTCACAAATATTCAAAAAAAAGTAAATCAAAATCATTGACATGACACAGAAGCCCAAAACTCCATATCATATCTGTAACATACAGTCATAATGCTCAACTCAAGAAAAAAAAAAAAACTCTCTAAAAGATAACTCACATTGTGCCAATCAAAATGGTAAAACAAAGCATAAAAAGGCAACAAAAGGAAAATTTAGAGTCCTTAACGATTGTACCTGCTTTTCTCAAACAAACAATAACAGAGAGAGAGGGGAGGAGAGAGAGAGTTGCATAATAGTTTAGAGAGAGAGAGAGAGAGGCACCTGCAACAGACAGAAACAAACTACGAGGAATATACAAATCGAAAAAACAGATGTATATTCGTTAAACAGAGTGAAACCTTCCCTTTTGTAGAGGGAGAGAGAACGACAAAATATATATAAATATATATTCTTTAAAACAGAGCTTGTCTATGAGAGATTGCAGAGAAAAGAAAGCTTCCTTTCTAGAGAGAGGTATTTTTGTATATATTGCAAGTTTCTTAATGAAAATTCCATTTCCGAAATCTCATCAAATATTTCGCGAGAAGTAAGAAAATGGAAATGGAGACAGCTGATTACACGGAATTAAATTGAATATTTTTCTTTATAAATAAACATTCGTTTACGTATTAGAATTTCGAAAAGGAAAGAGGTTTATATAGAGCTCACGCTTTAAACAATCAAATTAGAGCCCACCTCAAAAAATTCATTAGAAGTGGTCGTTTAGATGTTAAATATCCTCAAATTGATCATCTCGACATAGGCAAGAGAAATAAATAGATTTATGACACATCTTTTGACCGTCAATTTTCATGATTTTCAAGTTTTTGTGGAATTGTTCGATATAAACTATTTTTTAAAGTTTAAATTTTATAATTAAAAATTAAAATATATTTTAACGTTCTCGCAAAGATTTTCAGTATTAAAACCACATTTCTCAAAACTATTTGAAAGTGCACTTCATGTTGATTGTTTGGAACCTTGGCTCCATACAAAACTACACCCATTAGAAAAGGGAAAAGTTTATATAGAGCTTAAGCTCTAAATAATCAAATTAGAGCCTACATCAAAACTTTTACTAGAAGAGATTGTTTTGATGCCCAAATTTAATGAAATTGATCATCTCGACATCAAGATACATGGACATGAGAAAAAAATGGATTTCAAGTTTTGAAAATAGTACATCTTGTAACGCATTTTTGGACCATCAATTTTCAAGATTTTCAAGTTTTTATAGATATGCTCCATCTACACTACTTTTTAAGCCTTAAATTTTATAACTAAAAAAGACAATATAATTTAAGACTATCGCAAAACTTTTTACTATTGAAACCATATTTTTCGATACTATTTGAAGGTAGGCTCTAATTTGATTGTTTAGAGCCTCGACTTTATACGAACCACACCTTTAAAAAAATATATATAAAAAAAATTATTTACTTTAATATAAAGAGGTAAGAATACTCATAATCGACTAGATTCAAAGTTCAAAAATAAAATTTTCAAATTTCATGACAAACCCTAAACCATCATCAAATTTGACATCTAATGGTTATGATTGATTGTGACATCATTATACTAATAATAAATAGCCTCATAACGTACAATCCTTTAAAATTTTTGCATTGTCTTAGCCAATATTACTATAGTGCTCTTCTTCCAAAACAACTCGAGTCTTCGTATATGTGCCCTATAATAAAGCAGCTCAGTTCACCCCCTCACTAAAATAAAGAGGATGAGGTTATCATGCGGGTCATGGACTCACACGTAGAAATTTAGGCCCTCGAATAATTTTTTTTTGAAAAAAAATTTGATCTTAATATTTAGAGAATATGTTATATTTAATATGAAGATTATTAATTTGTAAAAATAAAAAAAATTTAAAAATTAAAAATTATATTTTTATAGAGAAAATATTTAAGCGCTTGATTTTACTTTCTTTTTGGAGGACTATTACTTAAGAGACTTTGTTTTGATGGGTAGTGTGGATCTCTGGCCTGCATAGTAATAGGTATATTGTTTGGCTGCACCAAACAATTTTCCAAATCCACATATAATTAAAACTTTTAGAAGCACCTCTGACATATAAAAAAGTGGCTATGAAATATCAAAATTTTGAAAATGACAACTTATAATTTTATAAGATACGTTTTATATTAAAATTTACAAAATTGGCAAGCCATACATGCTTTTTATGTATTATTTTCAGTTTTAAAAATGCACTTGAAAACTTTCCAGAATCTTTCTGAATAAACGAAGTGCTTCATTTTCTTTTTGACAAAATAAATTAATAGTCTTTTGAATTATTAGGAAATTATGAACAATCCAACCTGTCAAATTCGAACTAGCGACCAAAGGAGGATCTGAGCAACTCACCATAATCCTCCAAAAAAAATTATAGACATAATAGTCTAAAATAATATAAATATAATGAAGGGAAAAGTTTATATAGGTACGAGGCTCTAAACAATCAAATTAGGGCGTGCCTCAAATTTTTCATTAGAAGAGGATGTTTTGATATTCAAATATCCTATAATTGGTCATCTCGTCCTCAAGATGAATTGACATGAGAAAAAAAATGGATTTCAATTTTTGGAAATAGTGCATTTTGTAATACATTTTTAGACCTTCAATTTTTAAGAATTTTAAGTTTTTATAGATCTGCTTGATCTATACTATTTTTTAATTTTTAAGTTTTATAATTTAAAATAAAAATATATTTTAAAACTATCACAAAGATTTCAAGTATTAAAACCACATTTCTCGATACTATACTATTTAAAGGTGCACTTTATTTTGATTGTTTAGAACCTCGACTATATACAAATCGCACCCTATAATAAAATACGAAATATATTATCAATGAGTTGTTTAGCTCTGTATAGGGATATCCATTAAAAAACATGACTAGTATGACCGATCAGAAATTGATTACTATAGTATAGACCCAACGGAGCATGATCTTATGGGCTAGACGCGTTGGTGTTATCGCAACGATAATGATCTTAACGTATGGGTGAGGTTTGTTTAAGGCGCCAGATCTGTACAATTAAGGTCCACCTCTAAAATTTGGTTAGAGGTACTAAATATCTATTTTTATCTTTTATTATAAAATTAAAATTTTGAAAAATCGCATTGAGTAGATCTATGAATACCTAAAAATATTGATAACATAGAGTTCAGATAATTTGTTACAAAATGTACTATTTTTATGATACAAAAATTTTTTTTTTCTTTTTTTTTTATCATATCCACGTATCTCAAGGTCGAGATGATCAATCAAAGGGTTCTCCAACATTGAAAGACTCTTCTAAAGGATTTTTGATATGCGACTTACTTTAATGGTATGAGGTTTATAGTTTTTCCCCAATATATATGTTTAAAAAGATTCGGCAAACCAGCTTCCTCGCAATATAAGTCTAATAATTCAAAAATGAATGGCCAGTGTTGCATGTTAGTGTTTATTTATCAAAAGTAGGAGCATGACATAATTCAAAATTTGCACACATGTGCATCTCATTTATAAGCACTCTAATAAAAAAATAAATCGAGGCTCACAAATATTGTGAAATTAAATAAATCTGTCATTCTTGGCCGTCTAGATCGCCGCCGTCTAAGTTGCTCTCTCTCGATCCAGGCTTTCATGCCTATATTGTAAAGTGTAAGTTTATAAAATCTTTTATGATCTCTGAGACCCTAAATATTACCAACAATATAACTAGCTAGTTAACGGTGATGGTCAGAGATAGAGGTCCAGATCAACTAATGACCATTTTTGTAGAGGGTCGATCCCGTCATCACCGTCCAACCCGTTGCATAGACGGTGATAACCTCGTAGCCATGTTTCTGTTACCATACTTCTGTTCCTTGTACTTTCCCGTAAGGATATCCTCTTTCTCTCTACCAATAAAGCGTGTTTTGGCATGGCGCCTGCCGGTGTTTCTCTCTCTCTCTCTAACCGTGTTTTGGGTATTAAGCACCTTTCCCTCTAACCCTCTGTCTCTCTCACTAAAGAAGAAGACTCCAGAACTGCACATCAGTTCTTAAGCACTCCACTTTCTCTCTCTACAAACAAAGGGCACAAAAGTAGCTTTTTCTGGGTCACATCTCTGAACTTCTTTGGCATAGAGGTACTATCGGTTTCACTCTCTCAAGCTTTCCTTAAAAAAAAGAGAGGAAAGAAAGAGAAGGCCTTTAACTTCTGCTTTTCACCTATTGCATCATGCAATGGAAATTTTACCCTTGTTTTATTTTTTTGATTTCGACGTTTGAATGCACAATGTCTGAGATATCTGAGATAAGATTGCTTTGATTTTATTGTCACTCATTGTTTTCTCATAAATAGATTATTGGTGGATCAGGAGGTAAAAGTGGGAGTTTATAAATGGGTTTGTTATTAGTTTTTTTTTGTTATCACAATTTTTTCTTGGGAAATAGTTGTATGGATTTTTTATTATTGGATATTTATTAGGTTTTAAAGCTGAGAAACTGGGAACTTGGGATCTAGTTTCTTCATTTTTTTTTTGTTGGGTTCAAGCTAGAAGCAATTAGGTTGAAATCTTAGGAGAAATTAGGTTGGTTATATATATAATGAAAGCTAATGAAGAGTATGATATTGATTATAAATATGAAATTGTTGATGACTGTTGCACACGGTTCATTCACTCATTTCTTTTTTCTATTACTAGGTTTAATATCATGGGGTCTTCAGCTGCCGAGCCTCTGCCCGTAATGCCAGTGAGGATTATTGGTTTTTGTTTACATCATTAATTCTCATTTCATGATCATTTGTTTTGGTTTATTTTTACTTTTCGTAAGATTGTAGAATGAAAAGGAACTAAGGCTTTACATGCAAGGTGTCTAAAATTGAATTTTATATCTTGTTTAATTTGATCATTCAAACCATATTGAGAATCTTGTCTTGTACTCTTTCATTAACTTTATTTGTTATGGTTTGGCTGTTACACTGGATTTGACATATCCAAATTTCAATTTCAGTTGTTGGTTGTTTGGGCCTTGCTATTGCAGTTCAATTTCTTTCTATGTTTTTTTTCCCAGTCCTTTTTTCGGTTGTTTTGTTTGTTAATGTTATGGTCATGATTTCGGTTTAAACTAATTTGCTATTGCTGAGAAGGTTTAGTTCTTTCCAGTTATTTATTTGAGTTCCCAAAAATTATTTGATGTACCTAAAGTCTAACGTTCACTATTCAATAGGCACATTTATGTTTCTTATGTTATATTATTATTTATTTAATTTTTTGCTTCTTTCCTTTATTATTATTTTTGTAATAAAATCTAATTCATTGTGTTTGTTAATATGAGTTTATGGAAGATATTCGTTATGCATGAAGTCCAACACTTCTTATTCATTCAAGCATCTGGGTTTTGGTGTTATTTTTGTTTCATACCTTTAATTTCTACTTTTTTATTGTCAGAAATTTTTGATATGCTATTTTTTCTTGGTACCCTTTTTGTTTTTATTAATACTCATATGATATCTCATGATCGATTACATACAGGAGGTATTGTTGGTGTTTCGGGCTGGAAAAATGTTTATGGAAGGGACTCGGGTGGTGCCAGATGCTCGTAAAGGACTAGTTCGTATAGCAAGGGTGTGTTTATGTAAACTTTTTTACATTTTTTGCTTTTTTTTGTTGTATTACTTTTTTATTGCTCTTTTTTTTTTATTTATTTATTCCAGAAGCAACTCATCTAGTTAGAGACTAATTCATCAGAAATGCCTTATATGTTAGGGCGAGGAAGGATTGGTGCACTTCCAATGGATTGACCGGACACAGAACTCACTTGAAGATGTATCCCAACTTTAGTTAATATATTCCATGTGCCTGAAATTAACTATATTAAGTTATTTACAATTTTTCAATTGTTATATCTCTTGAAATACTGTTAAGTGTTGTAGTACATGAAGTTTATATTGACACCAACACAATTTCCATCGAATTTGTGAATTCCTTGACTCTATTCTTCACAGGATCAGATCGTATTTCCTGATGAAGCAATTTTTGAGAAGGTATAATGTACTTGATGGGTACATTAGTTGTTTATATATTTTTTTGCTCAACTATAAAAGACTAATGAAAGGAATATCTTTTTGCGTGGATGCTTCAGGTCCCTCAGGCATCCGGAAGAGTGTATATTTTGAAATTCAATACTGATAATAGGAAGTTCTTCTTTTGGATGCAGGTTTGAACTGATTTTAGAAGACTTATGATTTAGACAAAGAAATATCATCACTTTTTATTGATAAATATTATTTGAATTTTTATACAGGAGCCATCATCTGATGCTGATGCAGGGCTATGCAACTCGGTGAACTATTACATTAATCGACCTATAGGTATAAAGAGCATTTTTCTTTTTATTGTAGGTTATAATCTGTCATTTTTAGGGTCAAAATCATTGTTTTTCACTTTGACAGATCTTGCTGATGAAGAGGAGCCCGAATCTTCTGCCCCTTTGGACAATTCGGCAATGTCAGAAGACATAGGGGGAAATGAGGTTTCATCAAGGTAAATTCAACCACGGTAGATGTTTATCTCCTGGTTCTTTCACAATTTTGCTCATGTGATGTCCTGATGAAATCCCAAATATAACAAACTATAATGAAACTTATATGATCTTCTTTGGAACTGTGTGTTGACCATTAAAATGGGTTCAAGATGTAGTTATTAAAGTTCATAGTGTATTCAATTTACTCATCAGATAGGTCTGTTTCACATGCTTTGATAAACTACCTTAGATGATGATTATTTGGTCTTATTGGTTGTTGTAATCACAGTCACTATATATTGTGCCCACAACATGATAGCTATGAAAATGATTGGCAAACCTTTGCAATCATTAAGAGGAAGAGGTGGATGGGAAGTAGAAAGTGAGTGGATACAAAGCCAAAGAGGGGAAATATTCTTGTGAGCTGTGATTTTAGCCTATAGAAATGACTTGAATCTTTGTTTTCTAGTTCATTTTCTTACACGGATCTAGTTCAATCTATTCCTAAGTAACAAATGAAATGAATTTCACACATGTATATTTTTGGGCCGGGCATGTCCCAAGAAGGGTGAGGACCTTAAACTTTCCCTTAACTTGTTCCAAGACCGAGTAAGGGAGGTGGGTTGTGTTAGGCAGGCAGCCAACGTAAAATTTTGCCAAAACTTTCCATGAGTCCTGAATCTAGTTGGGAAAAGGCTTTAATGATGATGACATTTTTGGGCCTGATCTAATTAATAATTGATTAATAATAATGAATTTCACTATATTTAGCCATTCATGATTTTCAATCCTTCATATCTGAGGAGTCCTCAATATGCCCAAAAATCTGCTCTTGTCACATCCCTAATCTTTATAGAAATCCTAACCAGATTGGCGGAAGACAATGCTCCTAGGAACCCCACTTTACTAGAAATCCTAATCTAGCTAGGAGCCTAGGGCTACTAATCGCATCAAGATTTATAATTAGACCACGGCTCCCAATCCCATTACAGAATCCTAATCAACCAATTAGGGATATATTTAACTAAAACAGCACTAGAAATTATAATCCAATGAGAACTCCTAACTCACTCTAAATTCTCTCTTCCCACTTCTTTCCTAACCCCCAAGCTGTGATGCACTCGTGTAGGAGCCAATTCCTCTTCGGCCTATAACATAATCTTATAGCAAAGGTATCAATTAGCTAATTTCCATCTTCACACAGTGCAAAAGTCTTTCTGTTAATTATGTAATTTAATTAAGTATTAAATAGTAAATATTATTTTTTTATTAATTAACATCCATTCACTACTATATATGTTATATTCATGCACGCATATATAAGCAGCACGCACGGAAGACACACGCTGAGAGACAGAGAGAGAGATCATGATGCGATTCCAGGAAAAGCATGCGGAAGCCATATTTTCATGACCCATACCTGTCTCGCTTTCTCTTTCTCTTTCTCTCTCTCTCTCTCTCTATATATATATATATATATATGTGTGTGTGTGTGTGTGTGTCTGTGTGTGCGCATGTGTATGTGTATCTATGTGTGTGTGTGTATATATATATATATAATGCTCACACTATGGAGTAATTTATCATTGTACTCAACAATTTTAGACACCTATATACTCTTGTGTTGTACATGGAGCAATTTTTTAATAAGGGTATTTTTTGTCATTTGGAGGGGTGTGACATCATCTACATAGGGTGTGACATCACCCACATGGACACACTAGTGTCATTGAATGCTCCATGTGGGTGATGTCATACCCCATGTGGATAATGTCATACCTCATGTGATGATGTCACACCCTTCCTAATGACCAAAAATACTCTTATGAAAAAAAATTCTCCATGTACAAAACAAAGGTATATAGGAGTCCAAAATTGTTGTGTACAATGATAAATTACTCCATAGTGTGAGCACCTTAACATAACCCATATATATATAATACCATTATTGTTTATGCTTTCTTACTAGTATTGTCAATTTTATACTTTGTGAGGGAGTTAACTAGGCGCAACCTGCATAACATGGAAACGTGTCCATGGCTTTTGGCACGTCTCGACATGCCACAGATATGGCATCCATGTTAGAAACTTTAAACTTGGGCACCACTTAACATTTCTTGTTAAAATGTTCACTTTGAAAGTGTTGTATGTCACTTAAGACCCCACCTCCACCAATCTATGAATAATATATGAACAAGTTGTATCTTAAAGGCCAATTTTGGCTTTGGAACTTCTTACACTTGTATCTGTTATGGACAAAGACAACCATATCTCGGTCATTGTAGCAGAAGCCCCAATTGCTGCAATTCCTATAGATGACGAGCTTTATGCCAAGGCCACAGCCTCCTCCACCATATTTTGAAGCAAAATCACAGTTATAAGTAGAAGGTCAATAGTTCTCACCAAGGGATTTCATATGCTTGGTCCTTTGAGTACTATGAGCTAAAAGATTTTGGTCTACAGAGTTCTATGAGCCTAGTATGGAAGTGTGATGACTTAAGACGGATTCTTCAATCATACGACATAAACTTGGGCCGTTTTGAATGTAATGACGAAAAAAATTAATGAGGTCTGCATGATAATAAATCCTCGAGTGTTGGCAGCTTTGAGGTCCATACATATGGCACCTAAGGCTAATTCTACGACATTGGAGACTAGGACATTGTACATGAGCATGGGGAGAATATGAGAAAAACGAGGGGTTAGAGGGCTTGAGGCTGCTCATCCAGTGAATAATGCTAACAAATGTGTTGGGTAGGATAAACCCCATCCAGAGTTAGCGCTAAGGAAATACAATGACATGTGATACCTGCAGGAGAAGTGCCTCTTGTTGAGCATGAATACTTTTGAGGGAAGCTTAATATCGCTTGATCAAGGGGAAATAAGCCCCAAAATCTCGAGAAGAAGAAGACGAGTCCCACTTGTGAGAAAAAACCTGTTTTCATACAAATGAATGGTTCAGAATTGCTGTTAAGATGGTAACTGATTTGGAGCATCTTTTGAGATCCAAATATAATTTTGTAAATTTAGATTGATCCTAGGAGTTGAATGAAAATGTATTGAGAATTGCCATGTCCAACCCCCCCACCCCTCTTTTCAACATGCAGTTGATGGTTGGTCAATGCACATAGAATGGACAACCATAGCCATAGAAAGTTTTTCCACTCTCCCACACAAAACATATGTATGTTTCTATCCCTTGAGGTTTGCGCAGTAGGCAAACTAGAGGCTACCTTGCATTATTTTATTTTATTTTATTTGAAGTCACTGAAGCAAATACCAATAGAAACAGGTGTTATAGATGGTTTTTTTTTTTTCTTTACTAGAGGACAATTGCTGTTCTTATCGAAATATTGTGCTAGAAAGAGAGAAGTCATACCCTTGGAGAGATCTAGTAGGTACTTTGAAGGATTTATTGGCTTCAACAGCCTTTGACAAATGCTCGAAACATGGTACATGGCCACGGATGCTTATCCAAGTTATATGGGCAGCTGTCAGACAACAGCGTTAAAACAATTTTATGATTAATGATGACATGTAAAAATGTCCCCAAATTCAAGCTGGTTCAATCGAAGCTATCTGATGTTCTGTTGTGGAATAAATTCCCAATGTGGGTCTATATAATAGGGAAATAAAAAAGGAAAAAAAAAAAGAAGAAGAACTTGGATGTATGAGCAGTTCTTTTCAGATGCTCACCCAGTTTTCATTCTCCACCAGAGATGCCATGCAAGAGGAGCATCCCAATTATACTGTTGGAATAATTTATGACTCTAAGTTAATCGAATGATTGAGTCGGCATTCATCAGTTTCTCATCCCTTGAAAGACCATTCGGGATCCTTAAGAATGAGATATACTGGATTGTTTCTTTTATTGTTAAATGAGGATATAAGCTATGATTGCGGGTGACAAGTCCATTTGTGCTGTTTATTAACGAAGTAAATAGACTGCCAAGATATATCTCACAAGGCTATTTATTATTACGTATACTCATAAGAAAAAGTCAGATTTAATAATGATTATATAAATTAACAATTAATATATAATGATGATGTTTAATTGTATAATTCTCTTGTAAGGGACAACTTTAGGTGGAGACCTTCATGCCTAGAAACACTACTGTATATCTCAGGTACCTCATTCCAATTAGGAGAGAGCGAGTGGTTCGTGGTTGCCAGTTTTTGTTAAGCCACTACATTCTGCTGTGGTTTAGCAGCGTACATTGTTTAATAAAGTCTTCTGCCTTGCATATATCCCAACCAATCTCTTTCTCTCTCTCACTCTCTCTCTACACACACACACACACACTAAGAACCCATATACCACTTTATGATTCTGAATGGTATTTTCAATTAGTTTTAAGCATACGGATTTGGGTTTTGACATGATAGATCCCAAATCCGAGTTGGATTGATGAGACTCGAATCAGTCTCAAAGCAACTTGGGTGAGTCTTGTCATCGAAGTATTGAAAGCTATAGTCTTGAAGGAATCTTAAGGTACTCCGTCAAGTGTCATCCAGGTCCCAAGGTGATTCTTGGCACGTTCTGAGCTGACTCACTGAGTTTCGAAGTGTTGGTTTCCTTAAGAGTTTTGTCTGTAATCTGTATTCAAGAGAATCAGGGCGTGGTGTGAGGCACTGAGGCCTGCATAAGGAGGTCTTCTGAGGGAGATGCAGATCCAATGTTAGTATTCTTCCAGGTTAATTACGACCAGATCCACGAGGCTATTTGTCCATGTGAAGCTGCCTTTCTACGTCAATCAACTCATCCTTCGCAATTCACAAAGTCATCAAACCATTCTATCCTTCATACTTAGATTGGCAAAAATTTCCAAGCCCTGATTGTGGCCAGTTTAAAGGTATACAAAAATGGCATCTTAAGAATATTATTCTCGTAAACAAAAAAATTCCTTTCATTCTGTGAAACTTACTTCATGTATACTGTTTCCATTGTATCCTTTTACTACTGTTTCATCATCGTTGTGTATTGCTTGGCTTCTGACATATTCAATCCATGATGTTTTCTCCCATTTGACGGCTCTATCAATTCACATGGGCCTACACTCACTCAATTCACATGGGCCTACACCCACTCAAATATTTCAACTCTTCCCTTGCCTAACCTGACTTGACCATCCAACTTATCATATGGACCCCACTTACCTAGCACTCGTGGAATCCTTGTGGAAGCCTCCCTAGCACCCAAAACAGAAATGTGAAATAAACTGACTTGCCTGTTGCCTCAAAATGAAATGCGTTTTTATCAAGTTTGCTGGGCTGGTTTAGTGCCCAAGGATGAGCACTGACTTTGGGGAATTTAGAGTCTTTATGTACTCTTTCTTGTATAAAAACTGGATTCTGACCATCTTGGATATTCTTTAGTGCAGTACTGATTTGGCTTTAGGTTGCTGAAATTCCAGAATGTAACCAATGAATACCCCTTTCCACATTTGGCTATGTATGCTATAATTTGTGGCATCAAATAAAACTAGAAGCACCTCTCTGTGAAATTGAAAAGATTAGTGCCATACCGATCCAATAAAAAGAAGAAAGGAAGATCAGGATGTCTCTTGTTAAGTCATTATGATGAAGGATATTTCTCTTATTCAGTCATTAATTTGAAGGACGGTTTATATTTCCTGATTTTCTTGCCAACACCCATCCTCTCCCACTCCCCTAACTCAGTGCACTAATACCTTAGTCTACTTGTTACCTCTGCAAGAGTCAATAATTGCTCTTTTTTTTTTTTGGCCTTTCCTACATTTCCAGTGCAACAAATCTGGATAGTTCTGCCTTGGTTGCACAATCAGCTGGCAATATGAATCCTCCATCAGGAACTGTACGCTTAGCGGATCTACAGAGAATACTCAGTAGTATTGGATCCACAGGTACTGTTTTATCTTGTTTTTCGTTTCCACTCAATAACTTCATTTTTCGACCACTTTTATCCATGTTTTGGGATGGCGGGCTAAAAAACATGGGTGGAGAAACTAAACCCTGTTTTTCCTCTTATATAAGTTTGAGAGCTTAGCTTGCTTGCACTGTATGATATCTTTGACGTGCGTTTTGAACTCTATTGTAGATGCTGAGGCAGCCCAAGATATAGGTAGGTGACTTATTCTCAACTTGAGCGACTGATATCCATATTACTCTTAGAAAAGATTTAACTTTAAGACATTGCCAGGTTCGGGTTAAGATATGTTTATTCTAATGTAGAGTTATATCTTAACATGGTCAGGTTTTGGCTTAGGAGATATATTAAAGCCAGATTTGATATTACCAGTAGTGGAAACATTGCCATTGGAGGAAAGGCTGGAATCTTTTTTGCCTGAGGTATGGTAGTCATACTGTTGACTTATTGGAAATCTTACTTTTTTGGTGGTGTTATATTCTGTTAACTGGTTCCATGTTTTACAGGGCCGATGGACTCCTGATGCTCTTATGGAATTGTTCCAGAGCCCACCTTTTCGCCAACAAGTTGAATCTTTCAATTATGTGAGGCTTTGCATTCATCTTCTTTGATGAATCATTTTTTGCCACCAGTTATAATCTTTATTTTCTAATTGTTAGAGATGCAGGTTCTTAGAACAGGGCAGATTGATTTGTCCCAGTTTGGAATTGACCCTAGCAAATGTAAGTAACCGACACGCATTGTTCTCTAATAGTGTAGTTTTGAAGTTGTATTTTCTGTTTGCAAAATAACCATTTTCGAAGGTGAGAGATGGCTTGTTCTGGTTTATATGTTTCATTGCTCTCTCTAATGGTGCATTTAATGACTATTTTTTGGATCCAACATGCATAATTTAGAACTTTTCAGCAGACGGTTCTGAGAAAATGAAACAAACAATATAAAGTAACGAATTCTGAACATGCAAAACTTCCTTGGTGTGAATATTTGCATCTCCATAGGGTCGACACTCATGCTTTGTTTGTCTCGTCCTGATGCTGTATAATTGTTTTTTTTGAGACTTTTTTATGTGGCTGAGCTAATGATTACATTTGTGATGCAGATAAATTCACCGTGCTTTCCTTTCTTGATGCCTTGGATGATACTGTTACCAAAACGTCGGAATCCAGGAGTGAATCTCGGCAAGATGAGAGCAAAGATAGCCAATCTCAAAGGTGTAGTGCCAATGATACAATGGATGAAGGTCAATAGCATAGAACTTATAAGCCACAAACACAGTTGAAGCATTCTTGGCAGTTTAACTGTGCATTATGTGTTTTTATGATAAATTCAGATTTACATTGTTGGATTTTTTTACTAGAAAATAAATTTTAAAATTATTAAATTAAATCATATGCCCCTCTCTTTATGGTTTTCTTGAGTTGATTCTTTGCTTAGATGGCTTCTGCTCATATGCCCCTCTGTATGGTTTTCGAGTCCGACATAGAATGCAACATCTGTTTGTAGAATTGTTGGCTATAACAACAATTGCTCATATGCTCATATGCCCCTCTGTATGGGTTTACATTGCTCTGCCAGTAACCCAATAATCATCATAGTGTTTGAAATTCTATTATGGTTCTAGGTTGATCATGATGCCTTCACGGATTTAAGATTACCATGAAGAGTATCTTCATAAAAAAAAATGCAAATGGTAGAGAACAAGGATATGGATGAGGTTTTAAAAAGTTTGAGGTTTATTTTTAATAATCTAAAAAATATATATATTTTTGATAATTTTCTTAAATTTATTTTCACTGTACTCGATGATTTCTGCATAATTTCCATGATGTATATGCCTGTGTCTGTGTGTGAGAGGAGCTTGGGAGGGGGGTTTAGAGAGAGAGTAGCCTGTTTGGAAACCATGCGCCATGTTTTGCTTTTTTTTTATTTTCATGTTGAGAGAGAGAGTAAGACTTGTCTGGGTTATAAGTGATTTTCAAATGAATAGAGAAGAAAGACCAATTACTTGACGGCAATCACGTATTCGCATGGTTCCCAATCTTGAGACTGGGAATAGGTCAGAGAGAGAGTGAGGCCCATTCTAGTCTTTAGAGAGAGATACAGGGAGGCCCATAGTAATATTTAGATAGAGAAAGGCAAGGCCCATTTAATTTTTACGCAGAGAAAGAGGGCCGGATCTTTGGACCTTTTGTTCTTCGAAGAGGCAGATGGTCTTAAAATGAGAAAACATCAACTTTTTATGTACTTTTTCCAACGAGAAACATCAGCTTTACAGTTTCTTGTCTACTTGTTCACTGGGGAATATATTCAATTTCAAGAAACAGTAGATCCTGCATGAAATCATTGCGCCATTTCGATTGAAAATTCAAGGGTTGTTTTCTAGCCAATGGACTGATCTTGAAAATAGGTAAAATCTGACAAAGTTGAGAAGTTAGGTGTATGCTATTAGATTTCTCTTAAAAATATTAGTATTTTATGAAGGGTGTGGTTTCTATAAGGTTGCACCCTTAAACCATCCAATTAGGATGCACCTCCAAATTTTATCATAACATGAAATTTTGTTGAAATGAATTTTTAGGATTATCTTAAAATCTATTTTCATATCTAATTATAAAATTTTAAATTTCAAAAATGGTTAAAATCAATATATGAAAATCTTGAAAATAGATAGTTCAGAGTATTGCAAGATACACTATTTCTGAGGACTCAAAATCAATTTTTTTTTTTTTTATATTCATACTTCTCAGTGTCGAGATGATCAATTAGTGGTCTTTTCAACATTAAAACAACTTTTTCCAATAGATTTTTTAGGTGCATATATAATTCTATATTTTAAGGTCTGCAACCTTACATAAACTTTTTCCTTTTTCCTTTTATGAAAGACCTGTTTTTATATGGCCAAGCCTACATATGTAAAAAATACGGGTTTGACAATAAATATAGTTTTTAAATATAATTTCATCCTAATTTTTATGAGTATATAATCTTTAACACGGCGATCATGATATGAAAATAAATTGAAAACTACATATAATAATTACATTAAAAAAACATTAGAAATATTAATTACAATTGTTTTTAGATGGACCACCTATTTGCATCCATCTTTTAAGTTATATGCTTTATACCTCTAGACCGGATACCGTAGAAACACGGTCGAGCCTGCATGAAAGCATTTTCCTTTTATGAATTGAGTAGACTAGTCTCACTCCTAGGAGTAGGTTTCTTGATCGATTAGGTCAAGTAACTCGGCGAGTCAGAGCCAGTGTGTACAAGGTTTTTTAATTACTAGTGGGGTTCTTATGGCCTAAAAGTTTTTAATACTCCTTTTGTATTTAATCGATTTTAGGGAAGGAATAAAATGCTTTTAGATCTTCCATCCATATTAAAATTGGACATGAAGGGATATTTGAAAGTTTCAGGTTCAAGCACTTCACATGGTAACGGTGTTTTGTCCTTGGGATCAAGTGTACAATTTGGTACTGCAAGGGTGCAATCCTTCCCCTGATATAGAGATATAAATTGGAAAACCTTTTAGTGGTCCAGGTAGACCCAATTGTAACACGAGGGATTTGTTGAAAACATTGAACCCAAAATTAGAAGTCGTAGATCTATTATCAATTTAAAAGAAAAGAATTTTAGAGTAAAATAATATTAGAGAAAATATTTTATTATTTTCTATTTTTAACTTCTCTCATTAGATCCGAGAATTGAAAATATTACTGATAAGTTCCATTTTTTCTATCTTTCAACCCCTTAAACCCTTTTGACTATATATTATTGACCTCAATAACTTATGAAATGACTCTACTCTCTCTCTCGTAGCATTGTCTCTCTCTCTCAAAACTCCATCTCTCTCTAAAACCTAAACCCCATCTCTCACTCTCACATCATCGTCTCTCTCTCAAAACTCCATCTCTCTCTCTCTCATATATAAGAAGGTGTGCTCATGTTCGAGCTCAAGCTAAATCCCTTGGTTAGTAAACTCATCGAGAAGCAAAGAGAGAGAGAGATGGAGTTTTAGAGAGAGAGAGATGAAATTTTTGAGAGAGAGAGATGAAGTTTAAATAGAGTGCCAATTAAGCGTTTGTTTGAATAAAAAATTTATGGTCAAAGGGGTCTAGGGGTTGTAAGATAAAAAAAATGTAGATTTTTTGCTTACAAGTAATATTTTCAATTCTTGGGTCAGATGTGGAAGTTAAAAATAAACGATAAGAATATATTTTTTCAAATAAATATTTTTATCCTTTTTAAAGATTATTAACCTGAAAATCGAAATTTAAAGCTAAACAAATAGCTCAATTCGAACAAATCCATAAATACTTAAAATTTTTGAAAATAAATAATCCAGATATAAATTATAAGATACAATATTTTTATTATTTGGAATCTCGTTTTTATATAGACATGATCAATTGAAAGGTCTTTCAGCATAGGAAACAGCATTTTATTTTTTATAAATTTTCAAGGTACAACTTGCATAAACGTAGCTTTTAAGAAATTTATCAAATTCCCTATAAAACATGAATAATTGAACACTTTACCAATATATCTCGATTTAGATTCAAATTACCTATCGAAAAAGTAAAACACACATTCTTGAGTTAGTGGTAATGTGCAAAATGTTAAATAGTTAGTGGTAATGTGCAACTTTTGACCAAATGTGGACTTCTTCAGGCAGGATCCCTTGTGGGTGCCTGGGAACTTCGATATTTACTAACAAAATTGAGACATTTAAATCTTCTCTCACTATAAATTCTCCTTATAAGTCCTTGGGTCGCCAAAATCGATTAATGTCGACACCAGAGGGAGAAGACTTGGTGGAGATCATTGAAGACGCGCCATTAGACCTCACAAAATACATCAACCATGTAAGAAACCCTAGCTCTGGAGCCATTGCTACCTTCTCTGGTACAACAAGAGACAGTTTCAATGGAAAAAGGGTTCTTGAGCTCAGGTATGAAGCCTACATACCCATGGCCATTAGAGAGTTAAGGTCCATTTGCTCATCTGCTAGGTCAAAATGGAAGATCAAATCCATTGCCTTGGCTCATAGGCTTGGTGTTGTACCAGTTGGTGAAGATAGTGTTTTCGTTGCAGCCTCTTCGGTTCATCGGATTGATGCCTTGAATGCCTGTAAATTTCTTATTGATGAGATAAAGGCTAGGGTTCCGATTTGGAAGAAGGAGGTTTATGAGAATGGTGAGGTTTGGAAGGAGAATTCCGAGTTTTTCCTGAAAAAGTTTGGCTTATCAGAAGAAGCGAAGGCCTGTGATGGTTCTGAGAAACCTGGTTTTGAGAAATTGGGGTTTGGGGATGGGGGACTAGGAGATGATAATGGGCAATTAGGGTTGGATGAAGGCGGGGGAAACCCTAATTACGGGCGTTCGAGTTGTTGCAGGCATAAGGAGAGGGTGAGCTCAGGCATGGAAAATGGCAAAGAAGACGACAAAGAGAGAGAAAATATGTGATTGAACAAACCCAGGCGTTTGTGTTATTTGGTATGTAAATTTTCTTATCCAGAATATACGTGAAATGAATTGAAACTTGAAATTATTCATCCCTTTTTCTCTATCATTGACTTTTGAATACTTGGGTTGCAGAAGATTGTACAATCATTATACCTAAGATATTTTTATGCTCATTGACTTTTGAACTGGTCATACTTGGGTTGCAGAAGATTGTACCATCATTATACCTTAGAAGTTCACATATTTTTATGCAATCATTGCATAAAGCAATCAATTTAGCCCAAATTTCTTAGAACAACAGCCTCAATTTCATAAAGGGTGGGTTCAGGCCCTGATTCTAACAAATTTGGGTTAAATTTCCTTATTTTGCCCAAATTAGGAACACTTGCAGATATATATATAGGAACATTACATTAAAAAAGGGTAATAAGTGTCATAGAGCAGGGTTCCTTAGACGCTCTTGTTTATGATTCTTGTCATGTGTTGACAATTGTCGGCGCTTGTACACATGTTGATATGTGAGAACGCTTGAATATACGAAAAAAAAAAAAAAAAACGGGAAATAGAAATGCTCAATTTGTGGTTTGAAGTCGAGGGATGTTGAGCTGCATTTGTGAACCTACTACCTTTCCAACTGCTTCACATGTGAATTCACTAGAGAATATTTTATTTTCATTTTCCAAAATGATTGTACATATCTAGCTATATCGAATTTTTAGGCCGAAGTACTAGGCACCTACGAAACTTGATGGGCACCAACACTCATGTCTTTGGCCATGTGCCATTGCATGATAATCAATTTCTTCCAAAACTTCTGGGATTTTAGTGTGACCATAATGTCCCTTTGCCATAATAACCCCAGAATTTAGTTCCGAGCCAAAGGTTTGGTGATTTCCTTACCTTGATCGTACTTGCGAACCATTGTAATGTATTCTCTATTTTAAATGTTCAACTTTTTAGGTTGAAGTAATAGACACCTGCGAGACTTGATCAGCACTAGTACTTGTGTCAATGTCCATGTAACACTATACTGAGCATCAACTTCTTTTGGAACCTGCATGGTTTTAGTGTGACCATAGTGTCGTTTTGTCGTCATATAATAACTCCAGAATTTAGTTTCTAGCCAAAGGTTTAGTGTTTTCTTGATCCTACTTGTGAACAATTGTAATTTCTTCCCTGTTTTTTAAGTTTTCAATATGTATCCAACCTCAACTCCTATTTCCTCTCATTTTGCTACTTGTTTACAAAAAATGCAGATGTTCCAGCCTCATGTATTCAGACCAGAAGGGTCACATTAGCAACTAAGGTGTTGATTAGAAATGGGATATTATCTGAATTAATTTATCGTTGATATGCATATTATCTTTTCTTTATGAAATAACAGTATATTAGTATTGGTAAATCAATATGATATAAGTTGTCTGAAATGGGTTATTGGGCCCTTTGATTGTAAGTAGGAGCATGGGAAAGAAGTTCTTCATGACTTGGGGATGTTGTTGAACTGCATCCCCCAATGCGTCAAACGTGGGTTGTAGTCCATTTGTGACAAAGATGGTGCCTCCATAAAAATGTAAATTAATGGGGCAAAAGAATTCAAAAACCACCATCTTCAAATTTCAAAGTTTTTTTTTAATTTTCCGTATTCATGATCACCATGGTCAAGATTATCGACCCCTGAATGGATGAATGGGCTGACTCACAAAAACCAGATTCCCTGAAGAGAATGTGATGAGTCATACCTATCCACAACCGTACTTGGCAGATAACAATGAAACCCGGAGGAATGAGGATTCATTTGTGAGTGATGAGTGAAGAGAGGGGACTAGAATTACTGATGAGATAGAGGAACCATGAGCTATTTCCATTTGGTCAATAAACAGGCTAGGATCTAAAATTTTATTAGTTTCTCTTAGATATTTGTACTACAATGTTCAGAGGCTGCATTGTATTTGCATAATTGCGAGAGTAAAGTATAAGTATTCGATGCATCCGCTGACTCATGCGGCGGTGCTGGTTTTCGAGGGATTTAAGCTCGAAACACTAAGAACATAGTATTTTGGTCATCAAAATGGAGAATGACAATTCCCAATTCTTTCTTTTCCCATTATCTTTACAAAAATGGCAATTGTTTAAATCTGTAGTATAAAGAAATTGCATCCACACGTTCGAAGTACGTTACGATTGAATCATCTCAAGATCAGATATATCATAAAAAAATTATTTCCATACTCCATATTTTTAGGTTTCATTTCACAATAAACCCAAGGTTTTAAAAGATATATTGGGACATAAAAATTGTAGATTTTATTTCTTTTAACCCCGTGAGTTAATTTAAATATGTTTTTTAAGATCAAACAAATCTAAAAAGATATGTCTTTTCTAAAAGCTATCTTTTCAAATTTCTAAAGAGAGAGAGAAGGTTTCATGGAGGTGAGAGGTAATTTGAAGGAGAGAGAGAAGTGTTTGGAGAGACACGAGACAAGAGAGAGTATGAGAGACACAAGAAGAGAGAGTAAGAGAGAAGTTTTGAGGTATATAAATAGAGAGAGAAATGATTGGGTTTAGCACATCTTTTTTGATTTTGTTTAGGTTAAAAAATAGTTTTAAAGTGGTTAGAGGTTAGAAAGATATCTTTTGAAATATTGGGTTTATCAAGAAATGAAACTTAAAAATATAAAATATGGAGATATTTTTTCTATATTATATACAGTTGAAAAAAAAAAAAATTTGTTTTGTAGAGTTATTGATGTGAAATATAACATAACATTGTGTACGTATGCATGTTCCATTCCAGAAACGAAGTTCAAAATTTGTCAAAATTCGGAAGGAATATCTTATATTAGGGTTTTCTATGTTTGCATGAAAGAGTAAATTCACAAAATGTGATCCAAACTTTGGAGCAAGATGGGTAGATCATAAACAAATATGGTCCACACATTGGAGCATGATTCCTACTGGAGGTAAGCAACCTTAATCTAGTTGGGGTGGTAAGTGGACCCAAGCTTGGTCTAGGTTTGGACCTGACTGGAGGTCAAGTAACTGGACCTGACCAAGTTTGTTTCCTTGTCCAGCCTACTTCTAACCAGGTCTAGGTGTCTGTGTGCGCGTTATGAGCTACTCGGCCTATAGAACAATATGGGCCGAATAACTCGAATTCTATCACTCCATCTCGATTGTCGATGTATACAATACACAATGTTTTATTTTTTATTTTTGTGAAATCATTTTGCCCACAAAATTGGGGGAGAACTCCACCTGACTAAGCATGCCAAGAGAATAAACATAATAGGCTAAAAATGACCAAATTTGCCCCTTACTTGATGCTTGGGGCTCTTTTGTCTCGAAGAGAGAGCTTTCCATCAATTAAGAAAGCACTTTCATATGTAAATAGGTATAGAGGTGTGCTATCCTGCAAAATAGTATGAAATTGCATGATGGGACTTTAAGAGCCACGTTCTGGGAAAGAGCTTTCCATGAAACAAACATTGTAAAGCAGTTAGTTTGTCTGAAAGAACTCCCCCAATGAGAGCGTTCCTTCAAAGCAAAGACACTGAGATAGTTCAATCTCAGCTATCCAGCCTATAATTTTTAATGGGCTTGGGGACTCGCATGATCTTCATAATATCTGTGATCCTGGTCGACCTTGGCCTATATCGAGGACAGAGCCCAGGTTGGGTCAACGTGATGCATAACCGGACCCGTTTACAGCCCTAAATACAATGTAGAGATTCTTGAAGACAGGTGGGAAAGAAATATGGTGAAAGAGGCTGACTTTAAAAAATTTAGTGAAAGAGGGTGGTTTAAAGGCTCAAAGAGCATGAGAAAGTTTGACACCCCTTAGTTTGTTCTTCAGCGGTGTAAAAGAGAGCCACTCAAAAGTAGAGAGAATATCACGAGACAAGGCAAGGTTATGCACCTGCCTTTCTGATGCTTATGAATTTTCCTGCGCTGTAGCTATTTCATGGTAGTGGTAAACTGTAAATTGACTTAACCTCTTACAGGAAGAGCTCTCTCTCTCTCACCTCTTACATTAAATTCTCAATACCTCTCTTTTTAGACTCTTACATGAAATTCAAGATACTTTTACACACACTCTCTTTAGCCTCTTACATGAAGTTCTCAACACACACTCTCTCTGTCTTTCATTCACACACACCCATTGATCTCTTACATGAAGTTCTTACTATTCTTTCTCTCAAACACACCTCTTACATGAAGTTCTCAATACTCTCTCTCTCTCTCTAGCCTCTTACATTAAGTTCTCTCTTTCTCTCTCATTAACCTCTTATACAAAGTTCTCAATACTCACTCTCTTTCTCACTAACCTCTTTTTTTTTTTTGTATAGTAACAATTTTCATTGCACTTTAAACCACAATTCCATCGGGTACGAGCCAAAAGGACCTTACAACAGTAAAAGAGAAAAAACCGAGAAAAACCAATCTAACCTCAAAACTCCATTAACACATCAGCATTAACACTTTCTTTAGCCAATCTATCCGTATGCATGAACCAAAGACATATTTATACTATTACATACCTCAGTTGCTTCCCTAACCAGCTCATGTAGAGACTAAGGATATTCCACCTCCTTCTTTAACCATTTTATTACATCATCAAATCGCCTTCCACCACTGCTTTATTAAATTTTTTAATCAATTTTACTCCTTGAAGGAGAGATCTCAGTTTTGCTTCATTTGCAGTAATTCTACCCACAAAGCCATAGTACTTGAGCAAAACCCTACCCAAAGAATCTCTCTCTCAGTAACCTCTTGCATGAAGTATTTTTTTGAGCAGGTTCTCAATACAATTCTTTTTTTTTTTTGACAAGGTTACGTAGGAATGGAACTTGATATGTTGTGGTATAAAAAGGCAGCCTCTACTGTCTTGACCCAAACCCAATTCCTATGTTCTCAATACTCTCTCACATACTAACTTCTGTCATGTAGAGCTCTCTCTCTCTCTCTCTCTCTCTCTCCTCACACACACAATGACATTAAAGATATGCATGGCTTGTTTGGCAGTTCAGGGAAATATTTGGTAATTATCTCCAACAGATGGAGGCACTTTAGTAATTTTGGCAAAAGAGGAGGCTATTTCGGTGATTTTCCACAACTCCCGGTAGACAGGAGTTTACAAGGAGTCCGTGTTGTATCACGGGAACGAAAGAGTTCTAATTTTAAGTCGTCCCTTCCTTAATCTCCTATAAACTTAGTACTGTCATTTGCTCTTTGAAATAACTTAAAACGATATAATCTCAATATGATATGGGTTCTTCTGTTGACATGAACTGCATGATTTTCCTAGTTCCAAGATAAATCAGTTTTTTTTTATTTTGAAAAAGGAATCCTGCACTGACTTGGGCGCCCGGCTATCCAAGTTCAATCGTCGATTCCCAAGTCGGCTTTGCCAATTTTGACCCTCTGATATCGCCTGGTTAAGAAAGGAAAAAATTCAAAAAAAAAAGTAAAGAAATAAAAAAGATCCTCTAAATCAATTGCCCAAGTCCCTTTAATGAACTGGGGGGTTCACTGTTCTGAGCAACCCGAGGTGAATCCTTGGTTTGAAGCTATTAGAAATTGGGGACCCTAAGGGTACAAACTAATTTAGGTGATTCTGAATCAGCTCGTAAATTTTGAAAAATTAAAAAAACAAATGTGTCGTTTATCCAGTTTTTCTTGATTGATTCAAAGGACAAATCCAGATTCTTATGCTATGCAGCTGGTATTCATAGATTTCTTAGCTCTTTTAAAAGTTTGAGTCGGTCCGAAAGCTCTCTCTTTTAAGATTCTCAGAATAAATTTCATCAAAAGTAAAAATAAAATGGGCATCAAAGACCAGGCATAGGCAAAAGTAAGTTAGCTTCTTGAATTTTAACGAACTTGACTCTAAAGGGTACTAAAAAAAGGTGGAAAGCCAAACTTCTAAACAATTTTGAGATAAGTAAATTTGAGACCTACAAAAGTAAAAAGTGACAGGGCCCCTAATTTCTCACATGAACCCCTTTAAAAAGCCTCTTTCTCTCCACCCCAACATACACCACTTCATGGCTCACCACTTATCAAACTTTTCTGGCGGAGCAATTGTCAATTTCCTGCCACCTAATGCCAAATTCCGGCCACCCGAAGAGATGCTCCATGAAAATTCTGGAGAAAATCATGTCGGGATCCGACCAGATACTGGCAACTTAGCAGGAGTCCCTCTCCTCCTTCGATCTTGCTATGCTCGATCGCAATCATTCCATGATGACGAGCTCTACAACTTTCGAATGAGCCTAAGATGGTGGGCTTTAGACCAATCCTCAAAACCAACTAAACTCATTTCATGGCTCACTTTCTGTGTCTTTACATTAGTTGTACCAATAACAAGCTTGGTCTTGGTTCGAGCCCCATCTCGAGCCATAGCCATAGAGAAATGGGTCCAGCTGCCTGAGTCTGGGCTCGCTGCTATAGCATTTTTTAGCCTTTCTAGATCAGTAAGAAAACATGGTTTAAGAAAGATTCTCTTCCTAGACCAGCTAGCTGAGGATACACATGAAATTCGACGAAATTACTCTAGCGAACTCGAAAGGGCTTTCAAGGGATTGGCTTTCATGTTGTTACCTTCTTTTTCAGTTGAACTTGCTCATAAGGTGGTGTTTTTTTCATGCACAGATGTTGGTATTTTGAAAGGTGGTTTCGCGGCTAAGTGGGTGGTTTTTGGATTCGTTTTGGCTTCTTGGATTTACAGAACAGGGGTTTATTTGCTAGTTTGTGTTCTTTTTAGCCTCACTTGTGAGCTGCAAATATTGAGGTTACAAGGTCTGAGGAAAAAGTTAGAGGATGGTGGGTCTGAATCAGAGGTTGGGGTTATTTTTAGAGAGCATGTTAGAATAAGGAGGCAGCTCTCTGTTATGAGTCACAGGTGTAGGGGGTTTATATTGGGGAGCTTGGGGACCATAACTGTGAGCCAATTGGGGGCCCTGATAATGGTGTTCTCATCCAAGTTTCAAAAGGATTTCTTCAACTCTGGTGATCTTTTGGTAAGCAAGCATCTCTCTCTCTCTCCAAAGTCTAGCCAATCTCTCTCTCTCTCATGTTTCTCTTGCATACTTGAGTCGTATGAAAAAATTATCTCATGCGATCAAATGAAGGAATATTTTTACATCAATTAATTGTCCATTGGTGTGAAAAGATGCATTAAGACTAATTGGTGTGAAAATATTATCAAACTTGACAGTGAGAGAATTTTTTCATGTTAGAAAACATTTTCACGCGAACCAAACGTGATAAATTCTGGTGATTTCCAATTCTAGGTAAATTCTGGTGACTTTCCAATCTATATGCATAGGTTTTGGTCTAAATTTCATTGCATTTTGATAGTTGCATATAGACTTTTAAAGCAAGGACTCAAGCTAACAAAGTTAGGCAACTTGACTCGGACGAGTCCTAAAAATATTAGCAATAAAATCGTGAGAATCGGTGAAACTCGTCCGGTTCCCAGGGTGTTGGTTTAGCTTAGTCCCACAAACCGAATTTTCAAACATTCAATTTAGATAATGAGGCATGAGGTGTCCCCTTAGTTTTGGCTCCAAAAATGTTAGGGTCGATGCTTTGGGAATGACTAACAAACTCTTGGTTTCAAGCTTTAATATTATTCAAACTGCATCCTCTTAAGTGAAAATTAGAGAACACAGGATAAATTGGCAATAGAATTGGGGCATCAGTGGTTAGAGGGCGGATACTTCAACATAACGTCTCCTTGGTTAGGGGGCGGATACCTCAATATAACGTCCCGGCCTCCATTCCCACCGTTAACGTCTCAAAAAAGAAGAAGAAAACAAAGAACTCATAGTAAATTGCAGTTTTAATCTAAGACTGCTAGGCACCGTACCTTTATGGTAACTTCCATTGATTGGCAGGTCTGCTCGGCTGTCCAGCTTTGTGGGGTATTTTTGTGTCTGTTGGGGGCAGCAAAGATCACGCACCGGGCGCAAGGTATAGTGTCGATCGCGACCAGGTGGCATGCATCAATGACATTGGAACCAAAAACCAAACGGTCTTATTCAAATTCCGGGGAACCATCGGCCCCGCCAATCAATGGTGAGAATTTTCTGGCTACGAACAATTCAAGTGACCCGGAGTCACCAGATGCTCTCTTCATCTCACCATCGCTACATTCTTCTTTTGAGGTCAGGCAAGCCTTTGGTAAGACAAGCTTCAATTT